TCCCCCGGCAGGACGCGGGCGAGGAAGGGGCGCGAGGCCCAGGGCAGCGCCCGCGGAGGTCAGCGGCGCCCCCCTCGCCCGTTTGGGAGACGGGTAACCCCTTCCTCCGCCCCGAAATTTAAATCGGCGTTCTCCAGCCTGCAGTCTTTCATCCAACCCTCCCAGCCCCCGACCAAGCAGCGCCTGACTGAGCGCTCACCCCGCGCAGGTGCTGCAGGGCGGCTGGCTGGCTGCCACCCCCGCCCCCCGCGACCCTGGGCCGACCTCTACCAGCCAGGCCCCTGGTAGGAGTGCCAGGCAGGATGGGCACCGGGGCATGGCCAAGTGAGCGAGCAGGGTCCTCCCGGCGGGGGTCCGACGCCTGGGAGTTCCCTCCAAGAGGGGCTGGCAGGACTCAGGGTCCTCTTGCCCCCTACCCCACCCCGAAGATGACCAATTTTCAAGTTCTCAGCAAAGGCGAGGTAAACTTTCCTTCGGGCAGGAAACTGCCAACCTGGCAGCTGCATAAATGCCGGGTCTGACCACCGGAGGGCAGCAGCGAGCTGCCCGTGGAGGCCCCCCAAAGAGCCCAGAGCTGGGAAGAGGTGGTCAATTAAGAGCCCAGTAGCCCGACCCTGTCACCCAGCCAGGTGGCATCGGCTGGGTCAGGCACCCCCCTAGAAAAATTTTACAGCAACTCATTGTTTTTTTGCAACACAAGTTTATTGAGAGGCAATTGTGTTCCTACCTGTGAGGAGCTCACAGAAGGTTGAGAGCCGGGTGGTATGTGAACTAAGCTTGGCAGTGCTGGCAGGGCAGGCCAGATGGGTACCCAGCCTGGGCACGTGCCTGGCGGCTGGAAAACCCCAGCAGGTGTGGCAGTGGCTGGGGGGTGGAAGGAGGCCAGACCCTGTCGTCAAGGTAACCAGGGTTAGAGCACAGAGAGCCTGGCTGCCAGGCTCAAGCAGGGGACGCTGGACAGAAGGCTCCTGAGCTGGTCCAGCCACAGCTGGACCCTCCTGCTCCCTTCAGTGACCACAGAGGAGCTATGATTGGCTGGTGAGGCAGCCTGAGGTTGGCAGGAGAAGGGACCAGGTCCAGACACGTGTCAGAAATGACCACAGGAGGAGGGGGGGGTGGAAGAGGGTTTTGCATGAAGGGACGACCACTTACCTCTGCAGCCGCCTCCTCTCAGGCCTGCCCT